GCAAATTACATTGTGAAATGGTTAATTAATTCAAATTAGAAAAATTAAAGCTGCTTCAGGGACATAAATTTTGAAAATTAGTCTTTTCAACCCTGTTAGAGAACATAAGAATAAGACCTACATTGTATTAAAAACGCTAAATTTTACACCTATACAATAAATTTAATCAAAATCGATAGAGCATTATAAAAATATGTAAAATAGATGATACAAATTGACATTTCCGGTTATCCATTTTGAAGAAAATGTTGCTGTAATATCCCAGGCATATGTCTATCTTAAATACGTAATATCAGTTTCGAATGAATTCGGTTTTCAACTACACACACAAACACACACTATTTTGTGAGAACATGTTATTTGGATACAGCCTCAAAACTTAAATGTTGAAACCTCGGATTCAATATTCATCACGATCTTAATATATATTTCATATATAGGTAAATGAAAGTAAAATTAAATATTTCCGTAATAGTCAATTCATAAGCAATTTATATAAGGTCCTTATACCTATTTATTATGTGGTTTTCATAAAATATTTTCCTCTTTTATACTTTACTTATTTATTATTTCTCCTTCTCATTCTTTTTTAAGACGAAGATATTTTTCCTAATTGGCCCATGGTTTTAACAATTTATGAAGTATTGTTTTTAGTCAACACCTCGCTCTGAAATATTTATCTAAAAATGGAAGATATTAATCTGGTAAGGTGATATAAATAAGATATAGTAAAATTTTAATAATAATTACTTATTAAAGTATTAGTACATCACGGAAGAATCTTCGTGAAAACCGTAGCTTTTTATTCTTATATCGTTTCCTGAAGAAGGTTACAAGAGTTAGTCTAAACGTCAGTAAATACAAAGCAAGCTGGGACGAAATTTTTGCAATAGTCAGCACCTTTACAACAATATATTTGATAATATATTTCGAAATAAATATCCTTATTTTTTTTTGTCTGTAACACTTTGTTGCTCTTAAGGGAATTCGTCCCAGAGTAAATTTATTTTTCTATCTATCTACCTCACAACATTAACTCACTTCATTGGATTAATTATGGTAAAAACAAACAATAAGCAGAGACAAATATTGGGATGAATCCCAACACAAAAATAAACTTTTACTCGAAATTTTCCATCCTCTCAATTTAAAAATGGAAGAAAAAAAAATGCCACAATTTTGTTTTCATATATCACCTGGAAAACCAATCAATTACCCATTAGGATTAAATCGGACAATTTATAGGTCTTGTGATTTGTAAATTTTGTGGATTTTATACTCCATAATAGCTGATTTTCTTTCTTCAATATTCGTTAAAAATTAAAGAACAAAGAGATAATATTGAGATATTAGGTGAATTTGAAAGCAAGGATTGAAATCAAATATTGCATTATCACAGAAGAGAAGCACAGAAAAGACATGTCAAGTTTTAACAGGGTTTTGATTTTTTTGTTGGTTGTTTGGGCACATTTTAACTGATTTATAAATTTTCGGAAAATCATATTTTTGTGCGGTTTCAATTTGTAGGGAATTTCAAACCAGGCCAGTAGTGAAAAGAACAGACAGCAAATCATAATTGTATAACATATATTTTTTTTTTATTATTCTACATTCGTTTGGACTGTTTTAACGAACAGGAGAGCAATAAAAGTTTTTAGAAGGGAGGGCATGCAACATCAACCATGGGGAGGATGAGTATCTCTTAAATCACAAAATTTAACAAGAGATTTGTGCTTTAAATCAATAGAAGATATTAGGGCGTATGTTTATAGTTGATAGGTGTCGGGAGAAGGGATGGCCGAATGGGCTAACGCATGTGCACAGCACCGCCAGATAACGGAAGTTGTGAGATTAAAAAACGTACGTAAGTTCGCGTCCCGGTGCCGGAGGGGATTTTGAATTCCTCGCCCTTTCCCCCTGGCCCGGGAAAACCCCGTATAGCCTAAAAGGCGAGGCAGGAAAGATAAAAAAAATATAAGAAAACAAATTGATAGATGTCGGTTCGAATGTAATTTGGAAAGGTTGAAATTTATTTCTGAAATGAATTTCGACCTTCCCACTCTGGTTAGAATAGGTTTACTAGAACATCGTCCGTCGTCTTACTCCATATGAGGTAAGAAATAATTTAATAAAAAACGGGATGGATGTATAATGGGGTGGACTAAAGCGTTTGCAATATACGAGTTGCCTAGCAATCTGTTGGCTTGAAGATTATGAGTTTGAGTCCTGATAAGTGGCTATTTAACTATGTCTGCATCTACCCTGATCCGGTATAAAACTCCTAAAGCCGAAAAGGTGAGGTAGGTAAGAACAGAAAAAAAATTGACAGAGTTATGCTTTTACTACTTTTCAAAACGTTAATAATTATATTATAAGCATATCTTGAACGTACTGGTTATTAGGAATATTGTTAGTTTGAGACAATGGAGGAGGTTCGGTTCCCGTGATCTAGTTGAGTGTCTTTTAAAGAAATATTGAGGCCTAAATCGGGTTTTTTCAATAACCGAATAACAATATGCGAAAAAATTCCTGAAGAAAAAAAATAGTGTCGAATTCCAATCAATTTTCTAACGCCGAATTGAAAATGGCGGTAAAGGATTCTGCAGGCCTTGTCCCATGTTAGTTATGCCGAAGCGAAGATTTTGATAATTACATTAATTATACAGAGATAGGGCGGTAAGGAGCGGACAACCCCCGCCGGTTTCACCTTCCCCTCTTACTCAAACTGGTGCAGCTTTCTCCAGGATCCTTTCTTTCTTCCTCTCAGTTTCCTTCCAGTTTCTGATAAGGCAAGAATTAACTTAACTGGTCCATATTATACCTTTCTCGGCCAGTTCTTATTATAACAGGATGTCTTTATGATTACTGGCAAAAAATTAAAACCAAAAAAAAAAGTAAGAGATGACTTTGAAGCGTGCCCAACTATGTCAGATAAGATTGGTTCTAGTTCGTTAGCTCTATCTATCGAAACTGTCTGATAATAATAATAGCTATCGATACTAACTATAAATGTGGATAAACATTTTTATGGTCCTTTATCATATCCTCCTGTAAATTGTTCCTTGTCAAATTGTCACCTTTCCATAATTGATGATTTATGATAAATAAACTGTAAATAAGATAGAGAAAAACGCACTCTTGTAAAATATTAACGATTAGGATAACATGGCCAATGCATACGAAATGGTAGCCAGAAAACATTCTCAATTCAATTAGTACTTAATTGATAAGTTACAAATTCCAATTCAAAGACTCAGAGCCCAATTGAAAGCCCACCTTGTTTACGATGTTAGTTTATTATTTTCTATAATTAACTATTGTAAACGTCCAAACAAATTCGAAAACTTGACTTTCTCTCAAAACTTAAGGATTTACGTTTCAGGATCATCCTATCAGCCCTTTCCTTCCAAGATGGCGGACGGAAAAACCTGTATTGGTATAGACTAGCGCCTGAACTGATTTCAATGAAATTTGGTCAAAGTCTTCTCTTTCGAATACCTTAAAATATATCTATACAACACACTTTAACGAAAATAAACTGGAAAAGAAGTTACGAGGGATGGTAATATTAGATTTCAGAATAACTCAAGAAGTATATTTTTCTTGTTGTTTTATATTTTTTTTAAGTTTAAAAAATTCTTAAAATATGAAGAAATCGTTGTGATTGGAAAATTTGGGGCAAAGATATGTTTTTAAAAAATATTTTTCATTTATTTTAATACAAAGATTATATCCTTTGTTTAGATTTTTAATATCCTGAAAGTGATACTTCAACTAAAGTAATGTTTTTTTATTTATCTGAGAAAGTTACTAATGATAAAATAAAAAATTATAACTTGATTTCAGGAATCAGATAGTAACTTTTTAAAATTATTTCCCGCAATATTAGTTATCAGAATGAAGATAAATAAAATGATTAGAGAACAATTAATCAGAGAGAAGTTATTTTTAAATTTGTTAAAATATAACTTGTCAGTAGCTGAATTATTTAAGGCTGGTATCATGTCATACAGCTAACATCTGATCTGACGTCATACAGCTAATCATCAACAGAACATCACTGCTCACATATTTGGTTTTATAATAATAGTTTTATGATTGAAAAATAAATCAACCAGTACAATTTGAGGGCAATGATAACCGTCAGCAGATTTTTGCCCCTAAACCCAAAACAACAACAACATCACTGCACGTCCGTCTTAAATTTGAACTTCATCCAAAATACTCACTAAATCCAAAATACATCATGATTTTTTTCTGTATGGGATATCCATGTTGCTTAAGGTTTGAATAATATCTCGCTTATTATTATTCACTTTTATACACATAGTAAATTCTGATTCGGCTTATGTAAAATTTTGTATAACTTAACGAAAAAAGTAGACTAAAAGCCAGTAAATCATTTGTTATCAAGTCCGGACGGCAGTAGCAGGAATAGAATTTTCATCTCTGAAAATAGAAGTTTCATTTTAGAGGCATCAGCCTGAAAGTTTTTTTTATATATGTGTATATAACGTTAAGTATTTGGGGGGAAAAAAAAAAAATCACTACCTATATGAAATGGTGTTAAGTGATTTTTGAAGTCCTATTTTCGTAAGACATGGTTATATATGCATTATAATTTAAAAATAGAATATATTGTTAATGTTTTATTATTTAACTTACAGTAAGAAATATGAACCAATAAAAAAAAAAATCCATTTGGGGAGCTTGAGCGCAAAAGCTCCCTCTCCCGTAGGTATTTTCATCAGAAAATCATTTATTCAAAAGAATTACACCCATTCAAACATTTTCATGAGCCGCACGAATCGGATATAGTTGCTAAACCTACACCGGTTTCAATTACACCTGAAGGCAAGCCAAAAATTATTAAACAGAATAATCAGTCAAATGTGAATTAAAAATGGGACGACTCAGCAAAATATAAGTTACTGTCCTGCCTCTCATTCTCATTATCATCTCCTGAAATAACTAAAATAATTTACCCGCCAATCAATAAGCTATAAGGATTTACTAACCTGGTCGTCCGTGAACTCCATCTTGACTTGCGTAACGGAAGCGAGCATTTCGGCGTTTTCAGGGTCGAGCTTCTGTATACTGGAGGTGATGTCCTCCCAGAGGGGCTGAGGTTTGAGGAAGACGTCGTCCTCCGGTCGAGGGAACGACGGCCTGGGGTCGAAGAATTCTTCGAAGGTAGGTGTGTGGGGTCCTCGTGGCAGCTCCGTCGTCGCTTCTAGTTCCAGTCTCTGCAGCTCGCTCCGGCACAGGTACGCGTCCAGCTCGCTCTCCTGTTAAAAAAGTATATAAAATAAAATACAAGTGTTCTCAAACATGTGAATATGTAATTGTAGGCTAAGGAGTAAGATCTTATTTAGAAAGAAATAGAAAAGAATTTGGCACACTTGTATTAATATATTTAACATATGGATTTAGACTGATTTGTCACTGTTCTTGAACCCGAGTGAGTCGGTGGAAAGAACACTGCCCTGGAGCCAGGGCCCAAAAATCGACCTGATCGCAGGCGAAGATTTGATTGTAAATTACGAAAGTGTATGTTATCCTGAGTAAAAAGAACCTTGTCTGCCGTTCCGGAGCCGCTACTTTCAAAAATGGCGGCTGATTTAAAGAATATTAGGCCAATAATTTGAGGATCGAAACGGGAAATCCATTACGAAAAATGTGAGAAAAGTTTTTATTTTTTTAACTTTTATGTATGGGTTTAGACATGTAAAAAACAAAATTGCTAAAGCCGACTAACAAGGGAAAACTTTTTACAGCCAAAAAAGTCAGATTTTTTAGATATTTTTTGGGTTTTTCACCTATAACTCCTAAACAATGCATCAAAGAGAAAAACGTATTCCTTAATAATTCCAAGAACGTTAAATTTTGTCTCGAACGAGTACATAAACTTTAAAATTTGGTTACTCGGTAAGGTATAAAACCACGGTCAACCAACGTTGAGTTTTACCAAATTTGTCAAAAACTGAGACAAATTACTATAAATGGCCGTGTAACATGGAAATGAGTTCCCATGTAAGAGGAAAAACCCATAGAATCAAAGTTGTAGAACATCAAATTTTGCGTATTCCTCTGATTCCTGAAATCAAGTTATAATTTCCTTATAGCTTTCGCTGAATTTCAATTCAGTTATTTGAGGATAAGTTCGTCTTAGGCAATGTTTTCCAATGAGGTAGGTGCGATTTTTATGTGGGGAAGGTCTTTGAAAAGAAACGAAAAGAAAGAAAGTTATTCTTGAGCGATATATATATATATATATAATTATTAATTGAAAAATCCAAACTACTAAGCCATGAGTCTCTAAACCTACAGGTAAATAGTTAACTTGCCAACATTTTGCCAATTCAGGCATCATCAAGGCAGAAAAACAAAGATCACTTATATGCAGAAAGAAAAAAAATTAATAAGAAAAGAACAAAATAATATTATTGCTGTAGACATCTCACGAAGCTATTCAAATGCATACTAAAGAAAAGAGAAGGTTCTATGCTTGAATGATGCCTGAATTAGTGAAACGTCAGCAAAGTAACCATTCACCTTAATAATTGGAACTCATGGCTTGGTAGTTTAGATTTTCCATTAATAATATAATTACCCTGTATCTCTTTTCTTGTTTTAAGCTTATTTTTGTATATATATATATACAAACACACTCACGCATACACAAGTGATTATAGGAACTAAAGCTTTGAACCTAATACTTTTGCACTTCTGATAAGTGGCTTCTTACCGACTGAAAATATTTAAATCACTGACATAACAAAGCTGCTATTCATAGAAATGATCAATGTTTTACTATACAAATAGAAAAAAAGTTTTTGTACAAACAGAAAATAAACTTTCATAATAGTAAGTCACACAGATATTCTGAATATTTAGGAAATAATGTATCAGACTCCATATACGACCAAAATATTTTGTATTAAAACACCGCAGGTCGACTTTTTATCTATTTATTTAATGTTATTATTACTATTATTATTATATTCAGTCAAAACATAGGACATCGGTAATGGTGAGCAGAGAGTTGATCCACACCGTTAATACAGAGAACGTAAGTAAAATATTAAACAACCTAAACAGCAATACTTAAAAAATTAAATAAAATAAAATAAATGATAAATAAAATAAAATAACATCATAAAAATGGGGATAGAATAAGGAAAAGGTGCTGGACAAAGAAATACGAATGATGATCTGATTTATGCTTATACTTGAAACAATCTCATTCATTTATATTATTTCTATTTATAAAATTTAATTTTATATAAAATAATAACACGTTATTTCATTTATTTTTTAAGAGAACGATTTTGTTTCTACGGGCTGAATTTTTGAAATAGCCTGACGAAGTGTATAAACCGCTATCAAATAGCTGAGCCATCTTTCTAATCGTTTAGTTTAGTCTACTTAAAAAATTAATAGGCCTAAAACCTGACGAACTGGTGCAGGCTATATAGGGCATCGACGGCTTCTCGTGCGTATTCGGCATCACCTAGCGCGGAAGAGAACCGGATTTATAAAAAAAAATGTATTATTTGCTGCGGCTTGGTCACGATTTAGCGGCCATCGGATAACAAAATAATTTAGGCTCATGTCGAAATCGTCAGGGAAAATCCTAAATGTCATTTATAATTCCCTCCGTGTGGGAGCTAGCTAGCTAGTTTGTTGTGGGCAGGAGACAAAAATAAATTCTACTGCGTTATATAAATTACCCATCGGCTTATAACTGTTGTAACTAGCTATTCATAAAATCTGTATCGAAGAATATAAGCTTTTATGTAATTGTTTAAAAAAATTTATAATCATAAAATCCTTCTCTTATTATAAAAACATATTATGTAGGTAGTTACTAGATAACTATATTGTTTGAATAAATTAATTATTAAACCCTTCTTTGTATAAAGAGAAGAAGTAATACAAAGTCCAAATAATAACCGCAAGTGTAAGAACTCCATATTAACTTTCTTAGCATCAATTATAAAATTCTAATGTGATCATATTGTGGTTTACAAGAGGAGGTTACGGGCCTAGGGTCATGAATTTCAATTAATTGTTTATTGGTGATAATAAGGTAAAAAAATCTGGTGCGCGCAACACACAACTTTCACTTACCGCTCAACTTTGAATAGAAATTATTTTCTGGAAATGTTGGGCTATTATAAAATTTTTGAATTGCATTATTAACTGAGCTAAAGCTGAAAGATTGCAGCTGACAAATCATAAACACTATTAAAATAACAAAAGTCCTATTTATTATATCACCGGTTGATTATGGATGGTAGGATTCGTTGGTTATGGATTATACGATTCGTTGATTATGGATTGTAGGACTATTAGTTATTAAACTGTTATTTTCCATTGTAAAGTTTACTAAAACGGAATAGAGAGATTTGCTACAAAACTAGAGACCATATCTTTCCTCCTGATTGTCCGATTTTAACGATTTTTTTTTTTTTTTTTGTATTTTAGGAAATTCCATAAACTTTTAAAAAACCAATACAATATCGACAAAAAAGTGTATACTTTTTGAGTTATTCAGAATTTAATTTTACCATCCCCGTAACTTTTTTTCCAGCTTCCTTTAGTTGAATTATGTCATATAGATAACTTTAAAGGGTGTCGAGAAAAGGCTTTAGAAAAGTTTCATTGAAATCGGTACATTCGTTTAGGCGCTACAGTCTGTAGTAACGCAGGTTTTTCTGCATTTTTATTTTTTTCTCCATTTTTAACTTATCAGATTTTTTCAAAAGTTATATTTAGCATTTTTTCGTAACTCTAAATAATGTGAAATGAATAACTTTTTTAAATAAACCATATTACAGGTACTTCAGAGGAAGGCGTATGATATTAAAGACCAGTTAATTATATAATGATACACCGAGTTTAATAAAAATCGTTAGAGACGTTTTTGAAAAAAATGTAACAATGTGTTTCAGCGTTGATATGAAGTGGCACTTCCGGTTAGCCGTTTTTAAGGAAAAGCTTGAAGCGACATCTAAGGCATATACCTATCTTAAATACGTAATATCAGTTTCGGACGACTTTTCGTTTTCGAGCTAGAGTGTTCACATACACACAGACTACTTTTTCGGGACTTTGGTTATTTGGATTCAAGGTACCCCAAAACATGTATTTCCGTTGAAAACTCAGATTCAAAAATTTTCTCGATCGCAATACTTACCCTTACTATATATTACATATATACGTAAGTGAAAGTAAAAATATCAAGTCCATATCCGAAGGCTCTTGCTAAAAAAAAATATTTTATATAACTTCAAACAAAATTTATGTTATTGATTTTTGCCTTTGCTTCACACGGATTGATGGATTACTGTATACCAATAGATTTCTATTTTTTCGGCGAAAATATTGATTCTGGTATTTAATGATTGATAAGATATTTTAACGTAAAATTATATTATAATATGAATATAATTTAAATGGTTTTTAAACATTTTTTTATTGTTGTAAATTCGTGAATTGGGATAAAAAGCAGTAAAACTAGAAATAATCTGAGGATAGCTACATAATTAAATTAAAATTAATTTAAATTTAAAATGTATACTAATTTTAAACTATAATAAACAGCTTAAAAAAATTTAAGTCCGTACTGAATAAAAGGGATCTCAGGCTAATAATGGTTGTGCTAGTAACCATCAATATGAAATTAGTTTTAATTCATGAAAGAAATTGATTTAAATAATTTAATAGCATCTCAAGAGATCAAATATCTAAGGATACATGTTTATGTCTAATTCTAATTCTTTGAATTATTGGTATATTCATAATTAACTATTTTCCTTTTAGTAGATAAATAATTTCCAAATAATTATAATTTAAAATAAAAGATTAATAATAAATAAATTTTGAATGGTTCAATACTAGGATTATCGGACGGAAGAGACTTCAATGCCCACGCCAATTCCTAAGATTAAATTATCACGCTACATAATTAGCCGGATTGCGGAAAAATGTCGACTCACATCCACCGAGTGTTTGTGTTAAGAGTTCCTACGAAAAAATAAATGGACGACCTTCTAGCAATGCTCGGCCGCAACCGGAAAATATGTGATTAATGAGACGAATGCTATTGAGAAGTCGAGAGAAAGGTGGAGGTAAAACATATGAGCTGAATTTTTATAGAAGGTCTGTGAGATGCATTAGTTTTTTTCTCGATCTTACAACTTAAATATATGGATATTGGATTTGTTCTTTCTCATCCGAAATAAAAATAAACCTGCTCTTGAATCACGCTATTCAAATAAAAATGTATTTATTTTGCTCAATTAAAAAAAAAAATTTCACATTGCTTTATTATCCTCCATGCTTATCTGAAATATTAATATATATGGTCAGAATTAATTCATACTACATAAATTATTAATATAGGGACAAAAAAAAATATCAAGTTCGCATATTTCAATGAATAATATTGCGTCTTTCGATGGGCATTCTGACTTTATTGATAAGCCTTCGAAAAATATTTTTTTTTTTTTTTAAATACGTTTATGAAATCCAAAATATATTTCGGATAATAATAAAAATACAACATTAACTAATTGGCCCATAGGAATAATTTATAAGATGGAAATAAGTAAATGCAATGTACTATAAAAAATGTCCGATTTTGGTGATTTTATTTTATATTGCAAGGAATTCAGCATCATTTCTAGTTAATATGCGAAATCATAAACGTATACTTTTTGAGTTTCTTTTTCCAGCAAAAAAAAAAAAATTCTTTTTTACGTTTTGAGTATCTTTTCGAAGCTAAATAAATGTATAATATTTTGGTCATTTCGCTTTATGAATATTAAAACTACCTGTTGCAAACTATCAAATAAATACCGCCTTTGTTTTAATATGACAATTGGTAATTGTACTATTAATTCTTTTTTTTTAATCTTAAAATCTGAACTTTAAAGAAGTAATGTAATGTATATTTTAAAATTTAATTTATGTAATCAAAACTTTCATTTAAACCTTTATCATTAATTGTGATTACCTAGTAAACTTTTGTCTTGCCTTTTGTACATTTTTATTTTTTTCCTTCTCTTTCTTTAACGTTACTAACGTCCTTACTATCCTGTCTATCTTGTCGTTTATGGTCTTGTAGAAAACAATTTTTTTCTTTGGTCTGTTTTAGATTCAGAAAGAGTCTCAAAGCGAAGGACTTACTGGAACCACAAAGATTTAAAAAACATAAGTAAAATAAACACATAAATGGTAAAAATAAATTTACCACCGTTTTATAAAAAGCACCGGAAGATATAGAAAAGGCAGAGAAAGCAGATCCATTCAACAAATGCCAAACTAGTCTGAAGACTTCATTAATAATGTAGGAGGGCTGACTGGAAAGCTGCAAGTAGGTAAGGCTATCCAGAAATCCACTAGCACTATAGTCCAGTAAATCCGACTGGTGGTGTTTTGAACGTGTGCGGTCCCTGGGAGAAAACACAAGCCCATGCAATCGTGTGGAGGTAATTCAAAACGTTGCGGGTGAAATTATTTTATAGTTTGCTAACAACCGCACCAATTAAGTACCTTGTAACTCAACCCAGTCCGCAAGAATTACGACTAAGCAACGGGTATAAAAATTGCTTTCAGGCGCAAAACGACTACACAGACTCCTTGATTCCTAATAGGGTTTCTTGCAGAATATATATAGAAAAAAAAGAGTTGCTTGAATTGAATTTGTTGCATAATTTTGTGGGCGTTTAATCCTAAACCTGTTAAGTATAATTGCAAACTTATCGCTAACACTGATAGTAATAAGAATTAAAAATAAAGTATCAGGTAAATTTTTAGCTAACGTATTTCTTGTAAAAGTCAACATATATAAAATTGTAAAAAAAAAAAAAATAATAATAATAACACATTTCACATTTACATTTAATTTCTTCTCTTGGCAAAAGAAACATATCCTTGGTTAATTGCAAAAAATCATTAAGTGACATTTTATAACCTCAAATTCTTAAGTAAATTAATGAATTTTCCCTTTGTGAAATAAGAACATTTTGCACTTTTATAAAAGAGTTTGTGCCACTTTAGTGCATTTATATATATGTGTTCTCTATAAATAAGGCCGAAATTGACATAAACATATTTGAACGCTAGCCTGTAATAAGAATGCACTTAGTGACTTCTTGCGAAAAGCCGACGATATTCACTTGAGCCAACAAAACACCGCTAAGTCCTCCAGTTCCTTGTTTCTTTGATATTTGATGGATAAATTCATTTATTCCAAGTATATTATTATTTTTTTGTAACCAGGTAGAAATTATGATACCAGAAGTACCTGGTAGAAATTATACCAGATACAAAATTCACTAACTGTGATAATGATATATAAATTTAGCATTTATTCCCGAAATATCGTTCTTATCTTATCTTAAGTGATGAGTTATCGAATGGATTCCAATGAGCCTTTTCAAAACGTATCATGCGGATAATATTATTTTTATCTGTCCTGATCAAATCGCATTCCTTTTGTATTTGATTTATTTATAAAAATATATATTGTTTTAATTTGCGTATTCTGTTCAGATTATACTGGCTCTTAATACCAGTAATGCGGCTGAGTAAGAGGCGCTGGGATCTCCTGGAGTCCTGCCTTTCCTTTCACGAGTGGGGGGAAAAGCTTGGCTAGGAGATCTTGAGTGAATGAATTTTGTAAATATTGCATAAAAGCATGTGTGTACATAAGTAGTTATTTTTATTAGTTTAGTTTAGTTTATATAAATTTAGTTTTAGTATTATTATTTTGCTGTTTATTTATTTGTATTTATTGTACATAGTGTGAATGAGCTACTCTTTCATCTCTATTACTATTGTCCTTAGATGTGACAGATTGTATATCTCAACAAGAAGTTTCTAAAAAAAAATTTGTAAACCAAAAAAACAACACTAACAAAAAACAAAAAAGTACCAAAATGCAACAATGACAGGTTTTTCTGAAGATGTAGTCTATCAAAATTATCAGTTTAAACGCTACGAAGGTTATGAAACACTCACGAGATTTTGTACAAAAGATAATCGAATGAGGCAGATTAAAAAAAAACAAAAGGAATTGTTGTTTCTTTAAAAAAAAAGGGAAGAAGAAACTACCGGTAAAATTAAAAATTAAAAGCTGCGACAAACGTATTGCTTGTCTTGGAATAAATTTTGACTGGCATTGAAGTTTTCCGGTATACTTTTGCAGAAATGTTAAAAATGTCAGACAAAAACTTAACGACTAACTCATCTACTATGTTCCAAAAACATTTCGATGAGTCTGAAGACCTTCATTTATAAAATAATCCGACTCTGTTATATGGCACCCCAATTATTTACAAAGTCGATAGAAAAACGATTACAATATATTCAAAATGGAATATTACGGAAGATATTAAAAAGGGCGTCATTGATTTAATCAAAGATTTATAGCGTCATGATGAATTAAAAATAGTTACGATTTTTTTTAATACCGAATTTTACCCATCAGAAAATAAATTAATTGAATTCCTTATTCAGTCACATTGGACCTAGACCACCTCAACGATGGCTATAGTTGTATGAAAAATAAATTTAACTTCAGTATTAGTGTAAGTTCTTCACAAAAAAAAGTTTGAGTGAATCAGAAGTTAGAAATAATGAAATAATATAAATTATTATAAGAACATAACTCTACTGAAAATGCAGAAATCAAGAAAATGGAAAACTTTTGATACCTTAATATAAGTTAAAAAAGTCTATAAGGAGCTAAGGAAACCATAATTAGAACATTAAAAAAAAATTGTTTATTGATTAAATAAACAGTATGAAATTTAATAATATTGCAAATACTTACTATCATATCAGGTTTCATGTTGATGTCACGAACTGAGTAATTTTTCCATTTTAACCTCCTTTTCTTCTTCTTAATTGTATCTTTGTAATGATAACTATGCATTCGAAGTTTTAAAATCATTTATGAAAAGGGGATTCGAGGCTCACTTTGAAAAAAATTAGACTATATCATTTTTTTATTTTATTTTCTCCTATTCTACGAACTATTTTTTAATATGTTTTGTGACATATCGTTAGAATATTCCATTATAAATCAGTACTGAGAATATTCTACTATAAATGCTGGTGTTTTATGATAACTTGTTTAACAAACAGCGATAAAAGTAGAAATGCATGCCAATGAGTTGATAAGTTATTAAACGATTACCGGCAAGACATTACACAACAAAAGAACGAACGAGTCTAGGTCTTCAACAATAAGGCTCCAATTTGCCATTCCATACCATCATCATTATTAATCCGTAGCACTCAATGAATAGATAATAACAAATGTTCACATCTTTCGCAACGTCCTCCTACGCCAATAATCACCGGCAGAAATACCTCAAAGCATTCGCTTCCGAGGCAGAATAACAACTAACAAACCAAGGTCGCCGCGGGGCTGCTATACCTCACGCCATGACGCAACACACCCAAAGACACGGCAACAAAAAAAAAAAAAAACCCGTAAAAAGTTGTCTTATGGGAGAAAAAAATCTTTCTGGGTCAGTGAATATTGATATATGTGGTGATTATTTTTTTCAAGTAAGGACCTAATAAGATGCAAATAACCCTAGAAAGGACGTAACGATGAATCACTGGATTTCAATTGGCTTCTGATAAAAGTTTATTAGTCACAGGAAATTTGTACATAGATCGCCCATTAAAAATTTACACACTTGAAATCATTAATGTACTTCTAGGAAAACGTGATTTTATTAAATGTTTCTGAAAAGCAATACTCGCTCATAGGTATTTCAACTATCTCTCTTTTATTTGTTAATAACGTATAATTATATAATTAAATGATTAGATTCAAGTAAATTATTAATATTAAAAAAAATCTAAATGTAGTCATATTTATAAACACCTTTTATTAAATATTATTAATGAAATGTAATATAATATATTATTAATGTGGAAAAATAAATATCTGAAAGTGGTAAGTCAAGTTTCATAAACTTTTGTATATTTGTGTTTGAGATATGAGTATGAACAATAGTAGAGATATTTAAAATTACCCAAGATTAAATTGAATAATGTCAACAAAAGCTGTAGAAAAATTCATATTAATAGGTTATGAAGCCCCGAATATGTAGTTAAAACAATCATCAATCCAGATTTTATTGAAATATGGTATCTGGCAATTCTCAGCTATCTCAGCAGTAGCGGTTATAGGATTTCATATATACTAACTTTTATTGTTATTGTTATTTTATTTTTTAATGTCGGTAACAACAGAGACAATTATACTTTTAGGGATAAAATTTTCATATTTTTCTTGTACTTGCACGTATTTACACATGGTAGATGATGCGCATGCTTTGCCGTTTAAAATAAAACTCATTATAGTTTCTTGAGTACTAAGTACTTGGCTCAAATCATTCATAGCAGATTCAGCCTTCTTCTCAGGAGCTTGAGCATGCCTCGCTCCCTCCTCCCCCTAATTTCTGTCTATAATTCAATACTGAGATAAGTATAAGTTATTATAATACATTTATTGAAAATCTTAATAATTATAAGTATGGTTTAATTCGGTCCAAGATAATTTATTTATTCTATTTGACCATTTGGTTTGAGTGATGCTCGGATTTGAAGATGGAAAATCACTACTTCCTTACCATTTACTGAACTAAATACCCCGCTTTCTTTATTAGTGCTTTATAGTGTAAAATGAGTCAGTCGGTTATGAAAGTATATAATAGATCAAAAATTTGTCTATTTTTTAAAAATATATATATTAATTATACCACATAAATTTTATCTATTACATTTTTAAATTATTGCATCGCAAATGTTAAAAAAAAAAAAAGATCTTATTCTTCTAAAGGTGAATGAAATTTATTTATTCATTTACAAAATATTTTTCATAAGTAATTCCGTTTTCCTTTATTTTAATTGATACAGTAAATTTTAAAATTTGTGCTAAAAAGCTGTTTTAAAAATTGGATTTTACGTGTTAAAACTTTTTTTCTTACAAAGAACTTTAGGCACCGAATGAATTAAAAAAATATATACCTATTTCTCTATATTTCCTTTTTCTTCTCTCTCTGTATGTGTATTATTAATTCTGCAAAGTGTAAAGGATATATCACAAAGAAAATAGTAAAGAAACAAGGATAACGGATATAAAAACCCGAACTTAAAATCTGTACCACTTTAGCATTGTCAAAACTTATTTTTTTAGAATAGATAATCTTGAACTCAAAAAAATTCTTTTTAGCTGTAAAATATGTGTCTGTTGCACGCGACTGAAAAAAAAAAAAACTGTCTGAATGAACTATAGAGGAGGTTAAAGACGAGTTTGTTTGAAAATATTGGATTTCTATATAAGTGCAACAAACATGGTTGGTGCGTTGTTTTTTTTTACATTTGAAAAAATAATAAGATTTTCAGCATAAGTTATCAAAATTTATTAAATAGTCGAACAAACGACGAAT